CACGGCGGAAGGCACTATGCGCCATACTGAGATGAGCTTCAGACATTCGTAGAAGCGTTGTTGCAGTGGTATTGCGAAGGCCCTTGATGTCTTGGTGTAGCTTATGTGCCGATGCCTTGGCAACTGCATCTGGAGAGCGCGCAGCTGCAACAAGGTCTTTGACACGACGAGAAATATCGTCCGTAGGGTCAAAACGTTGCATAAAGGCCTCGACTGCCATCTTCGCTTCATCAGCCCTCAGCACATCAGTTTGCGTATAAATACCCGCAAGACCGCGGATGAATATATGAAATAGTGTCTGGCACAACGAAATAAGCAAGATTTGAGACAAGGAAACATCTGAATACACGCACCTGTGTCTTCTTTGCATCCTTGGGAACATCTTTTCGACGAAGGCCTGGTTTGTCGGCAGCCTTCCTGCTCTTCCTGGACTGCTCTTCACTAGCACCAGTTCCCCCAGCTTCTCCAGCTGCACCAGCGCTTCTAGGCCCACTCCCACTCCCTCTTGCCCTCTTGCTTGAGCTAGTGCCTTCAGTGGCCCCAGCCTTGCGCTTGTGTCCTGTAGGTGGCGGAGTTGTTGATTGTGTAGTGGTGGACATCTGCGAAAAGCCAGCAGTGAAAGACAAAGATGAAAGACTGAAAGACGCGATGACACGCCTTGAATTTGCCTATAGTTTGATCACCGGCGGCAATTCTAAGCACCTAGCCCGTGTTCGCCTCATTGCAGCTGGTTGTGACTAGACCCATCCTTGGAGCACACCACTTGAAGAGTCAGGTGTACTAGCTGTGTATTCACAGCCAGAAGACCTGGATCATCGACAGGAAAGAGCTCTATGGAGAGACTAGTTAGCGTTGTGCAAGAAGATGAACGGAAGAGACAACGTCGGCTCGTTGTCACGTCACTCACTGTCACACCGTTGACTCGGCTCGATATGTGCACATGCATCAGCGCATGTTCTTTCATAACTGAACTACAGGGTAAAAGACGGGCTATGTATTGTCAATACAGCCTATGCTAATGATGCCCGCTGTGTAACAACGGGGAACAGGCACTCTAGTAGGGAGGAATGCATACATGGGAAGCACGTGACTGAGAACAATATGTTAGGCTGATGTCAAGCCCAACTTGCAGTACAAGGGGATTGGGGAGGAGTGCTAGGAGGCTAGGAGTAGCGCCTAGCCTGTAAGAGATGTATGATCGTCCCCTCTGCAACCAGGAACAGGGACAAGGAGGAGCAGAAGAGGCCAAGGGTGTCCAATCACTCCCTTAGCAGGCATGCATATATAAGGTGTGATAGTGTACAACTGTACTCTATCACTGAGATCATCTATTGTACCATTTCTCTCTGTGCAAGGAGGCATCACCAACTTATCAGGCCTGAAATGACCTGATTCGAACCTAACACTGACTTCAGATGTGTCAGGCCCGATCCAAAGCCTAACAAGTGACACCTACCATAGCCTGAGTAGACTGTTCATTCTAATATGAAACAACAAGTGGACATGCACATCAATCTGTTAATTTTTTCATTGATCACACTCATCCGCTCATATTTTGGTCAAAGACATCCAAATGAGGCAATTTTCCTCTATTCTGGTACTGGAGGCGCCAAAATTGCCTAATGTGATAGCCTTACCAATTGCCAGGTTTCTTAGGCATATCATAGCCTTCAGGCCCTAACAAATTGAATAAAATATGATAGTAGTATTTCATTCAGTTTACATGTCACATGTCACACTGCCAATATTATCCAAATTTTCTCATATATCATGTCATTTTATTTATATTCCTATGCCTAAAATAGTAATTTATGATATTTCTGGGTGGATATAATGCCAAAAACTTCCCAATCATAAAATAATTTTAATTCTAATTTTTTGTATTGAATATTATACTTAAAATACCATTTGAATTGATTATTATTATTGCAGTAGTTTCATCATATAGAATAAAGGATTCTCAGGACTTTGCATATTTTTGTAAGGGGAGCATGTGATGTGACAGCTGTGACTGATCACGTGACTGGTCCGTGCGCAGATAGCCCTGTACTTAAGTAGTTGGCCATGGGGCTGTTCCCCCGGCTTTGGTATCAACTAGGCACCTGGACCCTCATCCCCTGACAATTTTTCCAAAAATGTTATCAAGGATGAAGTGCAAGCATAGAAGAACTATGATATCATCGAATCCATCAGATAACTTGTTTTAACCTAATCCAGACTAAGCCAAGACAACAGATCATCAAAATTGATCTCACTGATTCCTTCCCAATTGGCAACAGACTGAAAAAGTATAATTAGAATTATTTTCATATGAACTCCTGATATATAAGGCTATGTACAAGTGTATATCTCATAGTTTTCTAGGAGTTTTTCAAGATACTGTCATTCACCATCAGAATCATAAGGATGACAAAAGTCCGGTGACAAATCAGTGGCAGTGAAGAGATTCCCCGAGGAAACTACGGAGGTTTGGGGGTTTTTGGTTCGGGTCGAGTTTGGTGTTGTTTGGCTGCAGACCCATCAACACATCATGATGTGGCGAATATAGACCGGGGAGGGACCTTGCAAAGCAAGGTGAAGGTGATACAATATGTGGCCATATTATCATGTCCTGTAAATTGTATGGTCAGATATGGCTGTTGGAAAACTTATATGGCACTCACAGACCGGGAGCCGCCATACATGTAAGCTCCCTTTTTTGTGATGGTAATATAACCAAGACACTTTCCTTGTAGCTAATCCTGTGTATCGGTAGGCATTGATATAGTTTCTCTCACTCCCTGGAAGTGAGTTCGTGGCGGGCAGGGTATACTTCTTTTTCAACTACTCGAGTCGTTCTACCCCTCAGGCCCAGTCTTCTATCACGATTGAGGGCTTATTATCTGTCTTAGTTTCAAGTTCACATTGTAACTTAACCGCTGGCACGTGCCGAGTACAAATTTATCGACACCAACTACATTAAGCGATAGTCAGACATAAACCACACAGCATCCTCCTTCCTCGTCTTGAATATCTTTGTCAAGGCGGTCATCAGCTCGTCGTCCTCTGCTTTCGCCATACTCTCCTCCGTCATATTGTCGGTGAAGTGAACGCATATCAGACCAAGAAACTTGCCCATAAGAGCGTAGGCACCAATTGCTTCCCTGAGAATGTAAATCAGCAGTTCTGCAGGAAGAACCAAAAAAAAATCGAAACTCGTCCTCGGACTTGCAGCACTCGATTATCTTGCCGACAGCCCAATCCTGCGCGTCGCCGTCCATCGGATGCAGCTCAGACTCTTCCGGTGCAGCGTCGTAGAGCTCGGTGAAAGTCATGAGCCAGCCGAAACGGTAGCGGGGTCGGACTTCAGCCATTGTTTTGCCACCATAGTGCGCTAGTTCGGGTGCTTCCTTCAGGACTCGAGGGAATCCAAATCTGGATCGAAGTTTGAGGAGATCCATCATCCTTGACTCGGAGCTGCCAGTGTGCCTACCAAGTACTGGGTTATTGAGGTGTATGGGCACTAAGTGACTTACATGTGGTTATGGTTGAAAGTGTACAGTACTGTGTACTTACTGGCACGTGCCGAGTTCAGATTTGTCGACGCCAACGACATGCACATTACACGCGATAGTCAGACAAGAACCACACAGCATCCTCCTTCTTCGTCTTGAACATCTTGGTCAAGGTGGCCATCAGCTCGTCGTCCTCTGCCTTCGCCATTCTCTCCTCCGTCATATTGTCGGTGAAGTGAACGCATATCAAACCGAGAAAGTGGCCCCCAAGGGCGTAAACGCCAATTTCGAGCCTAAGAATGTGAATAAGCAAGGCTGCTCGCGGGGAAGAGCAAAAAAAAATCGAAACTCGTCCTTGGGCTTGCAACACGCAAGTAATTGGTCGAACGCCCATGCCTGCGCGTGGGTATCCATTAGGTGCAGTTCGTCCGGCGCAGCATCGTAGAGCTCGGTGAAAGTCATGAGCCAGCCGAATTGGTAGGAGGGCCGGATTTCAGCCATTCTTTTGCCTCCATAGCGCGCTAGTTCGGGTGCTTCCTTCAGGACCTTAGGATATCCAAGTTTGGAGCGAAGTTTGAAGAGATCCGTTTCTTCTGAGCTGTCCCTACCAAGTAATGAGTTATTATTGAGATGTGTGCGCACCAAGTGACTTACATGTGGTTATGGTTGAAAGTGTACTGGCACGTGCCGACTCGGAGTTCAGATTTGTCGACGCCAACTACATGCACATTACACGCGATAGTCAGACAAGAACCACACAGCATCCTCCTTCTTCGTCTTGAACATCTTGGTCAAGGTGGCCATCAGCTCGTCGTCCCCTGCCTTCGCCATTCTCTCCTCCGTCATATTGTCGGTGAAGTGAACGCATATCAGACCCAGAAACTTGCCCATAAGAGGGTAGGCGCCAATTTCGAGCCTAAGAATGTGAATCAGCAGTGCTCGCGGGGAAGAACCAAAAAATCGGAACTCGTCCTTGGGCTTGCAACACTCAAGCAACTGGTCGATCGCCCATGCCCGCGCGCGGATGTCCATTAGATGCAGCTCGTCCGGTGCAGCGTCGTAGAGCTCGGTGAAAGTCATGAGCCAGCCGAAACGGTAGCGGGGCCGGATTTCAGCCACAGTTTTGCCACCGTAGTGCGCCATTTCGGGTGCTTCCTTCAGGACTCGAGGGAATCCAGATTTGGAGCGAAGTTTGAGGAGATCCATCATCCTTGACTCAAAGCTGCCAGTGTTCCTACCAAGTCCTGGATTATTGAAATGTATGCGCAGCAAGTGGCTTACATTGTGGTTATGGTTGAAGTGTAGTAGTGGATGTGTCAGTGTAGATTTTGTGCGACGGCAGGAAGTGGGCTGGATTTTGTTGTTATGACCGAAGCAGCGCCAAGACTCATGAGCGTGAAGTAAGCGTCTAGCGCGGGCCGATAGAGATGTGAGGCTATTGTGAGCTAGAGTTTGCGTTTCTGAAGAAAACAAGCTGTGTTCGGATCAAAAGCGTGGGATACGCTTATGGCCTCTGTGCTCAAACCTCATCTCACGCGTCTTCTCCAATCCCTCCCTCCTTCTCCACCCCCTGAACAGCTCAAAGAACTCGTTGAAAATACTCTCTCCCAGGCGCAGACCAACCTTTCGCCAGAGATCTGCAAGAGTGTGTGGGAGCACCTGCTCAAAACCGCCGTTTTCGATCTTGCCGTGAGTTGTCTGGATGGCTGCAACGCGTTTTCGCTGAGGACAGCCTAGTGCACGGAAGGGGAGGCGCTCAAAGATGGAGGGATGTCTTATTACGAGCAGATGAAGGGCTTGCTGGATGTGGTGTTAACGTTCACAGAGCTTGGTTTGTTTGTGCGCGGTACACGTCTTCCAGCGAGTTTGCTGACCTTTTTGCCGCAGAGGCTTGCGAGACGACACTGCCATTTTTCGTGCTGCAAGACTTGCTCGAAATGCAGACGATTGAGTCGTGCTCACACATTTTCTCGTGGATCGAGTACCGCGCTGATCGTCTAATGGAGGGCCTCGTCCCACAGAAGGGAAAAGCCCTCGTTTTATTGCGGACACTCAACGACCTTCTTCGGCGGCTATCGAAAACGGGCTCGACGACAATTTTCTGTGGCCGGATATTGACACTGCTTAGTGGGGTGTTTCCGCTGGGTGAACGGAGTGGTGTGAACTTACGGGGAGAGTATGGGCCGACCTGGGAGCCCGTGAAAATATCAGCGGAGCCGGATGTGGTCATGGAGGAGGTGAAGAAAGAAGAGGAAGCCGACGGCATGCAGCTGGATGAGCCCAAAAACACGCCAGTAACCCCAATCGACAAGAAAGAAGGTGCGTCTTCAGCAAAGAATTCGAACACAATCAACTCTGGAGGAGACTTTTACAACACTTTCTGGTCGTTGCAACTTCCGTTCTCTAAACCTCCGCTGTTCGCTCTGCCTGGGACATTCGACGAGTTCAAAGAAGCAGTTACAAAGGTGCTCCCGGTCATCAAGGAAGCTACAGCCAAGGAGCGGGCGATGATGGGTAGTCGGGATAAGCGGAAACGCGAGCCGGAGTCAGAGGAGGGCAGCACTGTGACAGAATACTTCTTCGCCAAATTCTTGACCAGCCCCGAATTGCTCGATCTGGAGGTGAGCCACTATTTATCAAATATGGGTTCACCAAACGCTTGTAATGTAGATTGCAGACACCCACTTCCGCAGACAATTCCTCTTTCAACTCGCTATTCTTCTCACCCATCTCCAAACGTTCACCAAAGCCGCCAAGGCGGGCTGGGCGACAGCTCGAAATCGGTCGCTTCAAATGGACTTTACGCTCGAACCGCCACAAGCTGAATGGGTCCAAGACACACTCAGTAAAGTGATGGAGGAGCTTAAACAGACGACGCCGAATGGACGAGCATTTGCGGAGACTGTCAGCACGATTCTCGAGCGCGAGAAGAACTGGGTCAAGTGGAAGAACGAGTTGTGTACTGCATTCGACAAGGAGCCATGGTCGGACGAAATCAACGACACGTTCGTGGGGCTGCTGGAAGCAACTGAGCAACTGCGTCTGGCAATGCGGGAGCCGCCTGCGGAATGGGAGTGGCGGTTGGGGACGCAGCCTTTGACTGAGATCTGGGATATGGGCTATAGAGAGTTGCGGGATGTGCAGATGCCATTCAGGTGAGTGCAGGTAACTTGGTGAATTAAACTTATTGTTCCTTCAGAGCTGGTGATGTGAAGGACTTTGTGAAGGAGCTCAAACGAACGGACCATAAGATTGAAATGCGACAAAAGCGACTAGATATGATGGCGAAAAAGCTTGCTGCAAAACCTGATTCAGAGGAAGCAGCAAAGCCAGCGGAAGATGTTGCGATGCCACCGGTTGAGCCACCGCCAAAGCCAACCGATGAGATTCTTATTGAGCTGGAAGAGGTTCGCAACCACACTTTTTGGAGTGCAATGTGATTGATGGAGAAGCATAGAGTAAACACAGGACGGCATGGGTTGCGCTGCGAGCAGCCCGTGAAGTGCATTTGCAACATTTTGGGAAGATAGGAACGGGGGACATTGAGTTGTTGTTGAAGGAGATCGAGAATGAGAGCGAGAACGGGAAGCAGGTGCCAGCCTCGTCTACCTCCACAGATGCGGGCGATGTCGGATCTGGTAGTCCGATGACCAACCCCCGGACCGTAGGGGAAGATGGTGATATAAAAATGAGAGATCGATAGTAGCTGTGTGCTAAAGGAGCATTTAAACATTCTTTTCTCTCCTCTTACCACCACCATGTCCAACCTCCCTGTAATTCTCACGAGCTGCTTTCTGGCTGAATCTAACTGGTCTCTGGTAGAAAATCCTAGTCACTGGAGGCTCTGGTTATATTGGTGACTGACGGTTACTTTTGTTGGTTGTTGGCTCCTGTTGCTCAAGACGTTGACAGGCTCGCACGTAATCTACACCTTGCAGCAAACCAGACGGTACAAGGTCATTTCGCTCGACAACGGCCACAACTCGCACTCGAATGCACTCGATCGAGTTTCCGCGCTGTCTCGGAGTGAACTTCCTGAGAACGCGTCAGAGCAAGAAATTGAAACGACGGTCATCGAGAATCATTCTTGCGACCTGACTCGCCGCGATGAAATACGGGCGGTCTTTGAGAAGTACGGCAAGGGTGGGATATGGGGCGTTGTTCACATTGCGGTGCGTTTCAGTCTGTTATGGTTATCGTTGGGGGGGCTGCTCATGTTGCTTAGGCATATAAAGCTGTCGGTGAATCCGTCGAAATCCCGCTCACCTACTACGAGAACAATGTCGCTGCAACGCTCTACCTGCTTCAAGTGATGAACGAGTTTGACTGCACCCGCATAGTCTACTCTTCGTCTGCAACTGTCTACGGAATACCACCCACCATCCCAATTCCTGAGTCGACGCGGCTCAAGGCTGACAGCCCATATGGAAAGACCAAGGTTGCGTGCGAGACGATGATTGACGATCTGTGCCATTGTAAGTGTTGTATTTCCTTGAGATACTTCAATCCTGCGCCAGGCGCTCCTCTGTCAATTCAACTTTACTCGCGCAGATTTCGACGCGCCGTGCCGCAGACCAACAAATCCGCTTCCCACTCGCAAACGCCGACATCAAAACACAAAGGTGTCAGAATCGATGAATGGGCTTCAAAAGGCAAGACCACGTACTTCAAATCCTCCTCGCTCTCAAACGCGAGCTTCAATTTGACAGCGTAAACCAACGCAACACCACCTTCAACTCGAATACTACCCCGAGCAGCGCCGCAGCTAATCGCCTTACCGCCGCTGGGCCGGCAGCTGTCTCCCCCAACAACACAAGTCGCCCGCGTGCCCAATCTCGTCAAAATCACTCTATAACAAGGTCAGAGCGCGGAGAGCAACAGCAACTTGACGACGAGGTAAGTAAACAGTTAAAGTAAATAGATTACAAACTTACTGAGCTTCAGTTTCGCTTGCAGGCTTATTTGCTCGAGCAGCGAACGTGAGCGCGAACACTGTTTCAGAGGTCTTCGGAGGCGACAAATGAAGCTATTCGACGACGAGGTAAGCAAGAATTCAAAGTAGATGAACTCACTAGTTTCACTTGCGGGATCAGCGTTGCGCGCTGGTCAAAGTGACCGCATATTGATGTCTAATAAGTTCAGTAAGTGGATATACATAACCTTGCGAACAGAACTAACCAACTCCAGAGCACAATGCTGCCTTCTCGCTCGAGCTCCAAAGCAGCCACTGCGCCGCAAACAACCAGTATGCTTGCTGGAACCAAGGTAAGCTCGATGAATTGAACAATAACATGCTTACTTACCTTCAGTCTTGCCTGCGAGGAACGAGACGACATCAGCGCGGGCAACTTCGACAAGCCCAGAGTATAGCGCTGTACTCGCGCTCGATCTGACAACGAGGTAAGCAAGATTGAATTAAAGTCAACGTTAACTTACTTACCTTCAGTTTTATTTGCCAGCTAGAATGGAATAGAGGGCATCGACGAGAAGCCTAGATATCAGTACCCCACTGTACTAAGAAACAACGAAATATTTGCTCACCTTTACGCGTGCCCGGGCCGTCACATCCGATGCTCGTGACTCGCATCGCTTGGTCTTGACCTCCATCCCGATCGTCAGCGCAAGCGCAGACGGCCTCTTCGACGACGACAGCCTTTTATACGCGGCATGTGCACCTCAAATGACGGGGAATAGCGGAAAGAAACGGCGGAAGGGAAGCGGGGGATATCGGGGCAAGCGGTGAGTCTGACCCAGTCAGCCCGCTATTCCTAGTGATCACACCTCTACCAGGCCACACCCATCGTTTAATACCGACTTGGCCACGCTGACTGTGCCCTCTCCGGCCCAAACGGCAAACGGCAAACGGCAGCGCCAACCACCACCACCAAAACTTACGCCGGCGCCGATCCGGCTTCCGCCTTCCCCTCTGGCAACTCACGACAAACTACTGAGTACGGACTGGGCCGGCACGCTGCTTCGGGCAGGACTACCCCGGTCAGCCCGGTTTCCCCCAAAACTGGGCAAGCGGCTGGGCCGGCGCACTTGCTGAGGCCACGACATCATCAGCTCACGAGTGCCCTCGAAACGACCCGTTACCGCTAACCCACGCCCCCGCGTTCTCCTTGTTCATACCCGCCGACAACGCCTGTAAACGCCAGCAAGCTTACGCAACGACGGCGACAAACTGGTTAAGCCAATCAGCAAGACCACAAGCGGTGCCGCCGCCGCTGCAGTTCTGGTAAGCGAGCCCTTCCAGCTTTGCTCCACAAACTCACCGTCATGTGTAGTTCCTGGACGAGGCCGGCTCGATCGACGCGAACGTCGGCCCGGCCGTGGCGGCAAACCCAAACAGGCTGAAAAATCGGTCAGTCGAATGGCGGTACATGATATACTTGCTAACCGTTTCGCTCCCAGTCGTCCTCGCGCAATAGTACTAGACGCGATGTTTTGCAACAACGCAAGCGACGCGGCATGCTGGAGAACGAGGTAAGTTTCCGACTTGAGTCTCTGGCGGCAGTCTGGTCAGACTTACACAATATATAGTCTTGTACTGTCAACCAGTCGTCGAATTGGGCTTGAAAGAGTCGGTAAGCGAGTATTCTCGTTAGTTTAAGCGACAAACTTACCTGTATGTTCAGCTTTTTTGACCGGGCCCAAATCACGAACGCGGGGAGGACGCGAACGGCGACTTGCCGTTGACTATTTTGTCGACGAAGGAATGGTTCCTGGCGGTATCGATGCCGTGGGATCCGCTTAACGAAGGTGAGCGCAAGCGGATGTGAATGCAAATAAATAGGACTTACCTTTGTAGAGCCAGCGACGACGAGGGTTGTCGTGCCGAAGGGCTTCACGAGAAGTAACGATATGGAACTGAACAACTCCGAGCAAACGACGACCAAATCTGCAACGCGCGTTAGCGACGTGGATGAAGAACGAGGATTGGGGAACGGTACGGATGCCGGGCTTTAAGCGCGCTGGTTGCAACTGACATTATAGTCAGCAAGGAAGTCAACGACAACGACGAACAACAAACTGACTATATCAACGGTCAGCACAATACAAAACGGAGGAGAGGAACAAACGAAGGGGTTGGTCGAACAAAGTTCCTCGTTCGAGGAGGTTTGCGGGACTGACTTGGATGTGAAGGAGAACTGCGTTGGGGGTGATGGCGAAAGTGGTAATGGAGAAGGACGTGTAGAGTAAGAAATACGTGTAATAGAGTATGGTGACAAGTTTTGAGCAAGTATGGGGAGGGCAATGCAAGCACGAAAGTGGGCGGAAGGAAGGGGGGAATTGGCGCGCAACGTAAAACAGGCTAGTTGTTATACCTGAGGCCAGCGTGAGTGATCCGTGGCAGCGGATATTCTGGTGAAACGCTTCCCAGGGGTGACATGTATATGGCAGATGGATTGCGGCGGGAGCGGAGACACATGGATGTTGCAAATATGCGAAATTGGGGTGTTTGCGCTTTTTTGCAAGAGGTCGTAAGTTGGGCACCCGATCCTCGCGGCTATGAAATGATGGGTTTGATAAAATGATGTCGGCGGAGATTTGGCGTAATCCAAACAGCCGATGTACTGGGGTAGTCCTATCTTCAAAGATAGTTGGTGAGTTGAATCCAATGGGTTTGAGAGGGAGAGTTGCAGCGATCTCTGCGGGGATAGGTTTTATTGAGACCGAACTAAAGTTCCCACGCTTTCATCTGGGAGATCGTGGCTTGGGACGTCCAAACAGCCAAATGTTGTGCCTATTACTGTTTTCGGAATGGCACTGATTCGACAGCGCAGACCTTAGAACAGCACCAGAGAGAAGTTGAAAAGTCGCACACTATTGATCCCGTTGCTTACCTTCCTGGGAAAGAGGACCAAAAAAAAAAATTAGTGCAAAAGAAGACGTTGAACAAAACATATCAAACGTAAGCCGAGCATAAACCCAACAAATCTAACATTCCATGCTGATTCTCCTACGCGATATCATGTGTCCTGCCCTCCCGCTGCCACGGTCTGTTTTGCGCCAGGCACAGCCGGACGCATCAGAAAATAGCGTAAAACACTAGCCCGGGCGCCGCTCTCATGCTCCGCCAACGTGGCGCCATTTTCTCGCTTGGCCACGGCCTTGTCACGCCGTGTCACTCGCTTCCTTCCCACTGTCATGGGCAAGTCAGCAGCGCGTCAACAACGCGACGCGACTTGTTGATGGTCACGCCTCGCTTGAGGTCTCTTCAAAACCACCACCATCCGTAAGTCCCTCTTGCTTTTGCTTCCTCCCGCCTCTGACCTTGCCTCAGATGCCTCCCTCACGGACAGCTTCGAGCTGAGCTCAAATTCCCTCCACAAGTTTTTTCTGCTGTCCTTTTTGCGTCCTGAAACTGACCTCTTGAGCAGGAGTTTGCTGCTGGAGCCATGAGCAACACCCGCCCCTCCCCCAGACTTCAAGCTTGGCACTGTGTCATGTCTGCGACAACTGGTGGACGGGGTCGCTTGTGTTTTCGTCTGTGTGCGCTTGTGGGTAGACCACCTGCAAGTGTCCTGTCAACAAGTTTTTGTGACGACAAGTGCTCTGGCCGTCTTCCCTCAAGAACAAGGTCACATAATCTCCGAGTATGTGGAACTCCCCTTCCCGTCTGCGCTCCTGTGTAACTCTCCCCACAGATGGCCGTTGACTCTTCCCGTGCCAGACAAATTATCATCCTCATCTATCAACGGAGTCATGCGCTGATGTCAACCTCTGTTTGTACGCGGAACCACGACTGGTATGTTGCCCTCAATTGTATGTTGCTGAGTACTAGTATTAACCTTTCCACGCAGGTCACGTTGATTATCCAAATTCTTGCTGGAGCATGAACCTCTGCTCGGACACTGGCAAGTGGTTTGTCCTGTTATGATATGAGCTTGTACTGATGTCCGATTAGTGTTGTCGTTGACCATGACTGCACGCCGGAGCGGCAACCTCTGCTCGGGGTCTACAACATCTGCTTCACTCCTACTCACCAGTATGTCTTTGTGCTTATGCGTGATGCGATATGCTGACTGATTACTCAGAAATTGTGATCTATCCTCAACCAGAGAGGGAACCTCTGATGGTACAGGGAAACTCCGGTGGTATGGCCTTTCTGCTTCAGTGCTGCATGTCATTGAACTTACATCCAGCTCTGGGGCCATACCAGGTGTTCGGGATGCGCTACTCTTGCGATCTTGACCTGCAAATGGCGCTTACGTAAGCAGATTTTGTACACACTTGTAACATCTAATGTGCTCATTTTTTGCCCAGAATTTTACCGCCGGAGGCCCACGCTACCGCCTGGACTTTCAACTTTGCGGAGATAGTGCTCTGTCACTGTGCCGCGCACTTTTGATTCCGCATCGTGCTGCACCGGGTCGGGTCAAATCGACCTCGGCACACTATGCCATCATCAGATTTTGATGGTATTTTGGGTACATTTTTGTCCTCTTTTTAGCGCCTACATAGCTCACTTTTTTGCAGGTTTTTGGCGCCGGAGGCAAACAAAACGCCCTGGACTGCAAAGCTCTTGGCTATGTGTTTTCCATACTTCTGCTATCAACGTTGTGGTCGATCGCGAGCGCCTGGCCCTGGGGGGTGGGTGGCTTAACATTGTGCTGCCTTTGGTCATCATATCCCCGCCAACCTCATACGGTCTTTGATCATGGTGAGCTGTTGTCTCTCTCCTTGATTGTGCAATTACTGAGCTTGATATCAGTGTGCCCAACGTGTCGCGCTGCTCGTTGCGCTCCAAATTGCCTGCATCACCGATTATTGATCCGATCAACGGATTATCCGATAACTTCGGCGCGTCATTTGGACTGCAAAAAACACGATTCAAGACGCCATTTTTTTCCAGGATTTTGCCGCCGGAGGCGAAAATACAGGAGGACTTTCAAAGCAATCATTGGCAGCAGTGCGCTGCCAATTACACCATTGTGAGTTTTCACCCAAGTCTTTTTGTTTCCAAGTGCCTAAACTATGCCTTCCACATCCAGCCCATCCCAATTTCCCACCACAACGGGCTCTACTTGGGCCTCCGCCGGCGGCACGTCCTCGACCCGCGCCTCTTCATCCCACCACCACACCAAAGGCGCGACCGCCCTGTCCCTCCGTCTTGGCTCCAACACCCGCCGTCTTCCCAAGGGGTCTGCGGCACGTGCCTGCATCCCCGTCAACCATGCCGGGCCTACACCGTGAGCCCGGTCTTGACCGGAGCCACCCGCCGGCGGCACGTGGCCAGATCAGACAGCCGCTCTTACCACCAATCGCGCCAGCGCGCTGTCGCCACCCGTTGTCCCCAACCCCGCCGTCTTTCCGCAGGGTCTGCGCCCATGCCCGAATCGACAATGACGCGAGCGCGGGCTTGACCGCAGCCCCGACCGGGGCCATCCGCCGGCGGCACGTGCCCGAACCGGCCACCCACGGCTTCCTTCTTACCACCATGTGCAATGCGTCAACCACACCAGCGCCAAGTCCCTCGACCCTGCCGCCTCCACAGCCCTCTGTCTGCTAACGGGTGACCACGCGTCCAACTGACGTCTTGCCCGCCCCCTACAACGCCATTCGCAACGACAAACGCGCCATTAACTGTGCGCCAATCTTGACCAAACGCATGTCTGGCCTGGCTGTGCCCCCCGTCCACTCTGACTAGAGCAACGCGGCCGGAACGGGTCGTCCGGGCCGAACTCGCAGGCGCTTGCGCGACTTGACCGACGCGTTCAACTGTCCGCCAACCCAACCAAACGCGGCAGTCTGGCGCGGCACGTGGCTGGGCGGAGGCGCTCTACCATGAAGGCCTTGTCATTCCGACCAGCGGAACCTGGCGCTATCAGCCGGCCTCGGCCTCGACAACGTGTTGGCGAGCGCAGTCAACACACCATCACCGACGACGAAAGTGCAGCGTTAGCTGCCTTGTCCATAAGCGTGGCCTCGCTGTCGTCAACGCCTTCGGCGGGTCCACCTGCTTGCAAACGCGCTGGCCTCATGCTGGGACTTCAAAAGTGTTACCAAAATGACCCCCAACAACTCCGCGACAACTCTTTCCTGCTCTGATTCGACATCAGCGAGCAAGAGCAACGGACACGGACTTTGGCGCCCACTTCCTTCCTGCGCTGTCTTCTACACGACCCCCCGCCATGATCCTGCTCGTATTCAGCAGGACTTGTCGCGCAACATCAGCGATGTCGGCGAGCGAGCAACAGCGACGCAGATGGCAGCTTGGCCTACAACTTTCCCTCGCTGTCCGCCAACAGCCCCGGCGCGGGTTTGGACAACGATTTCCCTACCACGAACAACTCCCATTCTGCACGGGCTCTGAAGGGAGGAGAGAGCGAGACCGAGGATGGCGGTCTTGTCCCCTTCAGCGAGAGCTAAATGTCGGGATAGCAAGGACTCCAACAAATGGCGTCGTTCAAGGGAGGATGGAGTTGGGCAACGCCAAAGAACGGGCGCGCAAAACTGCGACCGCGACTGGGGCTGGAACGGCGTGTGGGCTGGTTTGGGAAGTGGATGCAGTTGGCGGCAGTGGGGTCTGCAATGCCAAGGAACGGACGGCGACTCACGGGTTTTTTACGCGTCTGACGCGTGGTTTACGCGTATCTCGCGATGGATCGGGAGAGGATACCTGTTTTTTTACGCGTCCGACGCGTATCTTGTGATGGATCTAGTGTAGTCGGGTACCTTGAATAAATTGCTTTTGCCGTAATACAAGGGTATATAACCAGAGCCCCCGCGCGAGCCTTAGCGAGCTGCGAGCCTTTGCGATGGGTGAGTAAAGCGTTGAGGTGGATGCGGGAGGGAATGGGCCTGAATGGGTCCAAGACACACTCAGTAAAGTGATGGAGGAGCTTAAACAGACGACGCCGAATGGACGAGCATTTGCGGAGACTGTCATCACGATTCTCGAGCGCGAGAAGAACTGGGTCAAGTGGAAGAACGAGTTGTGTACTGCATTCGACAAGGAGCCATGGTCGGACGAAATCAACGACACGTTCGTGGGGCTGCTGGAAGCAACTGAGCAACTGCGTCTGGCAATGCGGGAGCCGCCTGCGGAATGGGAGTGGCGGTTGGGGACGCAGCCTTTGACTGAGATCTGGGATATGGGCTATAGAGAGTTGCGGGATGTGCAGATGCCATTCAGGTGAGTGCAAATAACTTGGTGAATTAAACTTATTGTTCCTTCAGAGCTGGTGATGTGAAGGACTTTGTGAAGGAGCTCAAACGAACGGACCATAAGATTGAAATGCGACAAAAGCGACTAGATATGATGGCGAAAAAGCTTGCTGCAAAACCTGATTCAGAGGAAGCAGCAAAGCCAGCGGAAGATGTTGCGATGCCACCGGTTGAGCCACCGCCAAAGCCAACCGATGAGATTCTTATTGAGCTGGAAGAGGTTCGCAACCACACTTTTTGGAGTGCAATGTGATTGATGGAGAAGCATAGAGTAAACACAGGACGGCATGGGTTGCGCTGCGAGCAGCCCGTGAAGTGCATTTGCAACATTTTGGGAAGATAGGAACGGGGGACATTGAGTTGTTGTTGAAGGAGATCGAGAATGAGAGCGAGAACGGGAAGCAGGTGCCAGCCTCGTCTACCTCCACAGATGCGGGCGATGTCGGATCTGGTAGTCCGATGACCAACCCCCGGACCGTAGGGGAAGATGGTGATATAAAAATGAGAGATCGATAGTAGCTGTGTGCTAAAGGAGCATTTAAACATTCTTTTCTCTCCTCTTACCACCACCATGTCCAACCTCCCTGTAATTCTCACGAGCTGCTTTCTGGCTGAATCTAACTGGTCTCTGGTAGAAAATCCTAGTCACTGGAGGCTCTGGTTATATTGGTGACTGACGGTTACTTTTGTTGGTTGTTGGCTCCTGTTGCTCAAGACGTTGACAGGCTCGCACGTAATCTACACCTTGCAGCAAACCAGACGGTACAAGGTCATTTCGCTCGACAACGGCCACAACTCGCACTCGAATGCACTCGATCGAGTTTCCGCGCTGTCTCGGAGTGAACTTCCTGAGAACGCGTCAGAGCAAGAAATTGAAACGACGGTCATCGAGAATCATTCTTGCGACCTGACTCGCCGCGATGAAATACGGGCGGTCTTTGAGAAGTACGGCAAGGGTGGGATATGGGGCGTTGTTCACATTGCGGTGCGTTTCAGTCTGTTATGGTTATCGTTGGGGGGGCTGCTCATGTTGCTTAGGCATATAAAGCTGTCGGTGAATCCGTCGAAATCCCGCTCACCTACTACGAGAACAATGTCGCTGCAACGCTCTACCTGCTTCAAGTGATGAACGAGTTTGACTGCACCCGCATAGTCTACTCTTCGTCTGCAACTGTCTACGGAATACCACCCACCATCCCAATTCCTGAGTCGACGCGGCTCAAGGCTGACAGCCCATATGGAAAGACCAAGGTTGCGTGCGAGACGATGATTGACGATCTGTGCCATTGTAAGTGTTGTATTTCCTTGAGATACTTCAATCCTGCGCCAGGCGCTCCTCTGTCAATTCAACTTTACTCGCGCAGATTTCGACGCGCCGTGCCGCAGACCAACAAATCCGCTTCCCACTCGCAAACGCCGACATCAAAACACAAAGGTGTCAGAATCGATGAATGGGCTTCAAAAGGCAAGACCACGTACTTCAAATCCTCCTCGCTCTCAAACGCGAGCTTCAATTTGACAGCGTAAACCAACGCAACACCACCTTCAACTCGAATACTACCCCGAGCAGCGCCGCAGCTAATCGCCTTACCGCCGCTGGGCCGGCAGCTGTCTCCCCCAACAACACAAGTCGCCCGCGTGCCCAATCTCGTCAAAATCACTCTATAACAAGGTCAGAGCGCGGAGAGCAACAGCAACTTGACGACGAGGTAAGTAAACAGTTAAAGTAAATAGATTACAAACTTACTGAGCTTCAGTTTCGCTTGCAGGCTTATTTGCTCGAGCAGCGAACGTGAGCGCGAACACTGTTTCAGAGGTCTTCGGAGGCGACAAATGAAGCTATTCGACGACGAGGTAAGCAAGAATTCAAAGTAGATGAACTCACTAGTTTCACTTGCGGGATCAGCGTTGCGCGCTGGTCAAAGTGACCGCATATTGATGTCTAATAAGTTCAGTAAGTGGATATACATAACCTTGCGAACAGAACTAACCAACTCCAGAGCACAATGCTGCCTTCTCGCTCGAGCTCCAAAGCAGCCACTGCGCCGCAAACAACCAGTATGCTTGCTGGAACCAAGGTAAGCTCGATGAATTGAACAATAACATGCTTACTTACCTTCAGTCTTGCCTGCGAGGAACGAGACGACATCAGCGCGGGCAACTTCGACAAGCCCAGAGTATAGCGCTGTACTCGCGCTCGATCTGACAACGAGGTAAGCAAGATTGAATTAAAGTCAACGTTAACTTACTTACCTTCAGTTTTATTTGCCAGCTAGAATGGAATAGAGGGCATCGACGAGAAGCCTAGATATCAGTACCCCACTGTACTAAGAAACAACGAAATATTTGCTCACCTTTACGCGTGCCCGGGCCGTCACATCCGATGCTCGTGACTCGCATCGCTTGGTCTTGACCTCCATCCCGATCGTCAGCGCAAGCGCAGACGGCCTCTTCGACGACGACAGCCTTTTATACGCGGCATGTGCACCTCAAATGACGGGGAATAGCGGAAAGAAACGGCGGAAGGGAAGCGGGGGATATCGGGGCAAGCGGTGAGTCTGACCCAGTCAGCCCGCTATTCCTAGTGATCACACCTCTACCAGGCCACACCCATCGTTTAATACCGACTTGGCCACGCTGACTGTGCCCTCTCCGGCCCAAACGGCAAACGGCAAACGGCAGCGCCAACCACCACCACCAAAACTTACGCCGGCGCCGATCCGGCTTCCGCCTTCCCCTCTGGCAACTCACGACAAACTACTGAGTACGGACTGGGCCGGCACGCTGCTTCGGGCAGGACTACCCCGGTCAGCCCGGTTTCCCCCAAAACTGGGCAAGCGGCTGGGCCGGCGCACTTGCTGAGGCCACGACATCATCAGCTCACGAGTGCCCTCGAAACGACCCGTTACCGCTAACCCACGCCCCCGCGTTCTCCTTGTTCATACCCGCCGACAACGCCTGTAAACGCCAGCAAGCTTACGCAACGACGGCGACAAACTGGTTAAGCCAATCAGCAAGACCACAAGCGGTGCCGCCGCCGCTGCAGTTCTGGTAAGCGAGCCCTTCCAGCTTTGCTCCACAAACTCACCGTCATGTGTAGTTCCTGGACGAGGCCGGCTCGATCGACGCGAACGTCGGCCCGGCCGTGGCGGCAAACCCAAACAGGCTGAAAAATCGGTCAGTCGAATGGCGGTACATGATATACTTGCTAACCGTTTCGCTCCCAGTCGTCCTCGCGCAATAGTACTAGACGCGATGTTTTGCAACAACGCAAGCGACGCGGCATGCTGGAGAACGAGGTAAGTTTCCGACTTGAGTCTCTGGCGGCAGTCTGGTCAGACTTACACAATATATAGTCTTGTACTGTCAACCAGTCGTCGAATTGGGCTTGAAAGAGTCGGTAAGCGAGTATTCTCGTTAGTTTAAGCGACAAACTTACCTGTATGTTCAGCTTTTTTGACCGGGCCCAAATCACGAACGGGGGGAGGACGCGAACGGCGACTTGCCGTTGACTATTTTGTCGACGAAGGAATGGTTCCTGGCGGTATCGATGCCGTGGGATCCGCTTAACGAAGGTGAGCGCAAGCGGATGTGAATGCAAATAAATAGGACTTACCTTTGTAGAGCCAGCGACGACGAGGGTTGTCGTGCCGAAGGGCTTCACGAGAAGTAACGATATGGAACTGAACAACTCCGAGCAAACGACGACCAAATCTGCAACGCGCGTTAGCGACGTGGATGAAGAACGAGGATTGGGGAACGGTACGGATGCCGGGCTTTAAGCGCGCTGGTTGCAACTGACATTATAGTCAGCAAGGAAGTCAACGACAACGACGAACAACAAACTGACTATATCAACGGTCAGCACAATACAAAACGGAGGAGAGGAACAAACGAAGGGGTTGGTCGAACAAAGTTCCTCGTTCGAGGAGGTTTGCGGGACTGACTTGGATGTGAAGGAGAACTGCGTTGGGGGTGATGGCGAAAGTGGTAATGGAGAAGGACGTGTAGAGTAAGAAATACGTGTAATAGAGTATGGTGACAAGTTTTGAGCAAGTATGGGGAGGGCAATGCAAGCACGAAAGTGGGCGGAAGGAAGGGGGGAATTGGCGCGCAACGTAAAACAGGCTAGTTGTTATACCTGAGGCCAGCGTGAGTGATCCGTGGCAGCGGATATTCTGGTGAAACGCTTCCCAGGGGTGACATGTATATGGCAGATGGATTGCGGCGGGAGCGGAGACACATGGATGTTGCAAATATGCGAAATTGGGGTGTTTGCGCTTTTTTGCAAGAGGTCGTAAGTTGGGCACCCGATCCTCGCGGCTATGAAATGATGGGTTTGATAAAATGATGTCGGCGGAGATTTGGCGTAATCCAAACAGCCGATGTACTGGGGTAGTCCTATCTTCAAAGATAGTTGGTGAGTTGAATCCAATGGGTTTGAGAGGGAGAGTTGCAGCGATCTCTGCGGGGATAGGTTTTATTGAGACCGAACTAAAGTTCCCACGCTTTCATCTGGGAGATCGTGGCTTGGGACGTCCAAACAGCCAAATGTTGTGCCTATTACTGTTTTCGGAATGGCACTGATTCGACAGCGCAGACCTTAGAACAGCACCAGAGAGAAGTTGAAAAGTCGCACACTATTGATCCCGTTGCTTACCTTCCTGGGAAAGAGGACCAAAAAAAAAAATTAGTGCAAAAGAAGACGTTGAACAAAACATATCAAACGTAAGCCGAGCATAAACCCAACAAATCTAACATTCCATGCTGATTCTCCTACGCGATATCATGTGTCCTGCCCTCCCGCTGCCACGGTCTGTTTTGCGCCAGGCACAGCCGGACGCATCAGAAAATAGCGTAAAACACTAGCCCGGGCGCCGCTCTCATGCTCCGCCAACGTGGCGCCATTTTCTCGCTTGGCCACGGCCTTGTCACGCCGTGTCACTCGCTTCCTTCCCACTGTCATGGGCAAGTCAGCAGCGCGTCAACAACGCGACGCGACTTGTTGATGGTCACGCCTCGCTTGAGGTCTCTTCAAAACCACCACCATCCGTAAGTCCCTCTTGCTTTTGCTTCCTCCCGCCTCTGACCTTGCCTCAGATGCCTCCCTCACGGACAGCTTCGAGCTGAGCTCAAATTCCCTCCACAAGTTTTTTCTGCTGTCCTTTTTGCGTCCTGAAACTGACCTCTTGAGCAGGAGTTTGCTGCTGGAGCCATGAGCAACACCCGCCCCTCCCCCAGACTTCAAGCTTGGCACTGTGTCATGTCTGCGACAACTGGTGGACGGGGTCGCTTGTGTTTTCGTCTGTGTGCGCTTGTGGGTAGACCACCTGCAAGTGTCCTGTCAACAAGTTTTTGTGACGACAAGTGCTCTGGCCGTCTTCCCTCAAGAACAAGGTCACATAATCTCCGAGTATGTGGAACTCCCCTTCCCGTCTGCGCTCCTGTGTAACTCTCCCCACAGATGGCCGTTGACTCTTCCCGTGCCAGACAAATTATCATCCTCATCTATCAACGGAGTCATGCGCTGATGTCAACCTCTGTTTGTACGCGGAACCACGACTGGTATGTTGCCCTCAATTGTATGTTGCTGAGTACTAGTATTAACCTTTCCACGCAGGTCACGTTGATTATCCAAATTCTTGCTGGAGCATGAACCTCTGCTCGGACACTGGCAAGTGGTTTGTCCTGTTATGATATGAGCTTGTACTGATGTCCGATTAGTGTTGTCGTTGACCATGACTGCACGCGCGGAGCGGCAACCTCTGCTCGGGGTCTACAACATCTGCTTCACTCCTACTCACCAGTATGTCTTTGTGCTTATGCGTGATGCGATATGCTGACTGATTACTCAGAAATTGTGATCTATCCTCAACCAGAGAGGGAACCTCTGATGGTACAGGGAAACTCCGGTGGTATGGCCTTTCTGCTTCAGTGCTGCATGTCATTGAACTTACATCCAGCTCTGGGGCCATACCAGGTGTTCGGGATGCGCTACTCTTGCGATCTTGACCTGCAAATGGCGCTTACGTAAGCAGATTTTGTACACACTTGTAACATCTAATGTGCTCATTTTTTGCCCAGAATTTTACCGCCGGAGGCCCACGCTACCGCCTGGACTTTCAACTTTGCGGAGATAGTGCTCTGTCACTGTGCCGCGCACTTTTGATTCCGCATCGTGCTGCACCGGGTCGGGTCAAATCGACCTCGGCACACTATGCCATCATCAGATTTTGATGGTATTTTGGGTACATTTTTGTCCTCTTTTTAGCGCCTACATAGCTCACTTTTTTGCAGGTTTTTGGCGCCGGAGGCAAACAAAACGCCCTGGACTGCAAAGCTCTTGGCTATGTGTTTTCCATACTTCTGCTATCAACGTTGTGGTCGATCGCGAGCGCCTGGCCCTGGGGGTGGGTGGCTTAACATTGTGCTGCCTTTGGTCATCATATCCCCGCCAACCTCATACGGTCTTTGATCATGGTGAGCTGTTGTCTCTCTCCTTGATTGTGCAATTACTGAGCTTGATATCAGTGTGCCCAACGTGTCGCGCTGCTCGTTGCGCTCCAAATTGCCTGCATCACCGATTATTGATCCGATCAACGGATTATCCGATAACTTCGGCGCGTCATTTGGACTGCAAAAAACACGATTCAAGACGCCATTTTTTTCCAGGATTTTGCCGCCGGAGGCGAAAATACAGGAGGACTTTCAAAGCAATCATTGGCAGCAGTGCGCTGCCAATTACACCATTGTGAGTTTTCACCCAAGTCTTTTTGTTTCCAAGTGCCTAAACTATGCCTTCCACATCCAGCCCATCCCAATTTCCCACCACAACGGGCTCTACTTGGGCCTCCGCCGGCGGCACGTCCTCGACCCGCGCCTCTTCATCCCACCACCACACCAAAGGCGCGACCGCCCTGTCCCTCCGTCTTGGCTCCAACACCCGCCGTCTTCCCAAGGGGTCTGCGGCACGTGCCTGCATCCCCGTCAACCATGCCGGGCCTACACCGTGAGCCCGGTCTTGACCGGAGCCACCCGCCGGCGGCACGTGGCCAGATCAGACAGCCGCTCTTACCACCAATCGCGCCAGCGCGCTGTCGCCACCCGTTGTCCCCAACCCCGCCGTCTTTCCGCAGGGTCTGCGCCCATGCCCGAATCGACAATGACGCGAGCGCGGGCTTGACCGCAGCCCCGACCGGGGCCATCCGCCGGCGGCACGTGCCCGAACCGGCCACCCACGGCTTCCTTCTTACCACCATGTGCAATGCGTCAACCACACCAGCGCCAAGTCCCTCGACCCTGCCGCCTCCACAGCCCTCTGTCTGCTAACGGGTGACCACGCGTCCAACTGACGTCTTGCCCGCCCCCTACAACGCCATTCGCAACGACAAACGCGCCATTAACTGTGCGCCAATCTTGACCAAACGCATGTCTGGCCTGGCTGTGCCCCCCGTCCACTCTGACTAGAGCAACGCGGCCGGAACGGGTCGTCCGGGCCGAACTCGCAGGCGCTTGCGCGACTTGACCGACGCGTTCAACTGTCCGCCAACCCAACCAAACGCGGCAGTCTGGCGCGGCACGTGGCTGGGCGGAGGCGCTCTACCATGAAGGCCTTGTCATTCCGACCAGCGGAACCTGGCGCTATCAGCCGGCCTCGGCCTCGACAACGTGTTGGCGAGCGCAGTCAACACACCATCACCGACGACGAAAGTGCAGCGTTAGCTGCCTTGTCCATAAGCGTGGCCTCGCTGTCGTCAACGCCTTCGGCGGGTCCACCTGCTTGCAAACGCGCTGGCCTCATGCTGGGACTTCAAAAGTGTTACCAAAATGACCCCCAACAACTCCGCGACAACTCTTTCCTGCTCTGATTCGACATCAGCGAGCAAGAGCAACGGACACGGACTTTGGCGCCCACTTCCTTCCTGCGCTGTCTTCTACACGACCCCCCGCCATGATCCTGCTCGTATTCAGCAGGACTTGTCGCGCAACATCAGCGATGTCGGCGAGCGAGCAACAGCGACGCAGATGGCAGCTTGGCCTACAACTTTCCCTCGCTGTCCGCCAACAGCCCCGGCGCGGGTTTGGACAACGATTTCCCTACCACGAACAACTCCCATTCTGCACGGGCTCTGAAGGGAGGAGAGAGCGAGACCGAGGATGGCGGTCTTGTCCCCTTCAGCGAGAGCTAAATGTCGGGATAGCAAGGACTCCAACAAATGGCGTCGTTCAAGGGAGGATGGAGTTGGGCAACGCCAAAGAACGGGCGCGCAAAACTGCGACCGCGACTGGGGCTGGAACGGCGTGTGGGCTGGTTTGGGAAGTGGATGCAGTTGGCGGCAGTGGGGTCTGCAATGCCAAGGAACGGACGGCGACTCACGGGTTTTTTACGCGTCTGACGCGTGGTTTACGCGTATCTCGCGATGGATCGGGAGGGATACCTGTTTTTTTACGCGTCCGACGCGTATCTTGTGATGGATCTAGTGTAGTCGGGTACCTTGAATAAATTGCTTTTGCCGTAATACAAGGGTATATAACCAGAGCCCCCGCGCGAGCCTTAGCGAGCTGCGAGCCTTTGCGATGGGTGAGTAAAGCGTTGAGGTGGATGCGGGAGGGAATGGGCCTGAATGGGTCCAAGACACACTCAGTAAAGTGATGGAGGAGCTTAAACAGACGACGCCGAATGGACGAGCATTTGCGGAGACTGTCATCACGATTCTCGAGCGCGAGAAGAACTGGGTCAAGTGGAAGAACGAGTTGTGTACTGCATTCGACAAGGAGCCATGGTCGGACGAAATCAACGACACGTTCGTGGGGCTGCTGGAAGCAACTGAGCAACTGCGTCTGGCAATGCGGGAGCCGCCTGCGGAATGGGAGTGGCGGTTGGGGACGCAGCCTTTGACTGAGATCTGGGATATGGGCTATAGAGAGTTGCGGGATGTGCAGATGCCATTCAGGTGAGTGCAAATAACTTGGTGAATTAAACTTATTGTTCCTTCAGAGCTGGTGATGTGAAGGACTTTGTGAAGGAGCTCAAACGAACGGACCATAAGATTGAAATGCGACAAAAGCGACTAGATATGATGGCGAAAAAGCTTGCTGCAAAACCTGATTCAGAGGAAGCAGCAAAGCCAGCGGAAGATGTTGCGATGCCACCGGTTGAGCCACCGCCAAAGCCAACCGATGAGATTCTTATTGAGCTGGAAGAGGTTCGCAACCACACTTTTTGGAGTGCAATGTGATTGATGGAGAAGCATAGAGTAAACACAGGACGGCATGGGTTGCGCTGCGAGCAGCCCGTGAAGTGCATTTGCAACATTTTGGGAAGATAGGAACGGGGGACATTGAGTTGTTGTTGAAGGAGATCGAGAATGAGAGCGAGAACGGGAAGCAGGTGCCAGCCTCGTCTACCTCCACAGATGCGGGCGATGTCGGATCTGGTAGTCCGATGACCAACCCCCGGACCGTAGGGGAAGATGGTGATATAAAAATGAGAGATCGATAGTAGCTGTGTGCTAAAGGAGCATTTAAACATTCTTTTCTCTCCTCTTACCACCACCATGTCCAACCTCCCTGTAATTCTCACGAGCTGCTTTCTGGCTGAATCTAACTGGTCTCTGGTAGAAAATCCTAGTCACTGGAGGCTCTGGTTATATTGGTGACTGACGGTTACTTTTGTTGGTTGTTGGCTCCTGTTGCTCAAGACGTTGACAGGCTCGCACGTAATCTACACCTTGCAGCAAACCAGACGGTACAAGGTCATTTCGCTCGACAACGGCCACAACTCGCACTCGAATGCACTCGATCGAGTTTCCGCGCTGTCTCGGAGTGAACTTCCTGAGAACGCGTCAGAGCAAGAAATTGAAACGACGGTCATCGAGAATCATTCTTGCGACCTGACTCGCCGCGATGAAATACGGGCGGTCTTTGAGAAGTACGGCAAGGGTGGGATATGGGGCGTTGTTCACATTGCGGTGCGTTTCACTCGGTGTATGGTTATCGTTGGGGGGGGGGCTCATGTTGCTTAGGCATATAAAGCTGTCGGTGAATCCGTCGAAATCCCGCTCACCTACTACGAGAACAATGTCGCTGCAACGCTCTACCTGCTTCAAGTGATGAACGAGTTTGACTGCACCCGCATAGTCTACTCTTCGTCTGCAACTGTCTACGGAATACCACCCACCATCCCAATTCCTGAGTCGACGCGGCTCAAGGCTGACAGCCCATATGGAAAGACCAAGGTTGCGTGCGAGACGATGATTGACGATCTGTGCCATTGTAAGTGCCAATGTTTTGCGAGCCATTTGCCGCTTTCTAATTGTTTGTTGTAGCTGACTCGCGATGGAGTGGTATTTCCTTGAGATACTTCAATCCTGCGGGTGCCCATCCGTCAGGGCAAATTGGGGAGCACCCCAAGGGGCGCCCTGGAAACCTGCTCCCCCTTCTTGCCCATATGGCGGTTGGTCGAGTGGATGCTACGACCCTGAAAGTGTTTGGCAATGACTACCCCACTCCGTATGCTAAATCTTCCCTTTATAATGTGTCTAAACTAGGCCTAGCGACGGTACCTGTGTGCGAGACTACCTCCACATCCTCGATCTCGCCTCAGGGCATTTACTGGCCCTTGAAGCCCTATCAGACGACAGCAAAGTGTTTGGATCGTCTTCCACTGGTCGCTACAAGGGGTACAACCTCGGCCAAGGCCGCGGCATCAGCGTGCTCCAGATTATCGAGGCCATGCGCAAGGCCACAGGCTTTGACTATCAATACGAGATAATCGGTCGGCGGTAAGCACCGGCCCGGCTTCCCGAACCTAACGCTGATGTCTTCGCAGCGCTGGAGACGTACCTGACCTCACTGCCGATCCCACCCTTGCAGAGAAAGAGCTGGGGTTCAAGGCCGACCAAGATCTCGCCGTTATGTGCAAAGATTTATGGAATTTCCAGTCCAAAAACCCGGATGGCTACGGCAAGTTTGAGTAGGAGGAGGAGGAGGAAACTAATTTCCGGGTTATGCTCCCGGATGTTCGGACATTTAGATCGTGCTGCTCTTGCGTATCTTTAATGTGTTAATTTTATGGTTGACGATTTTTGCTGGCCAAAAACAGAGAGTACACAAATGTGACACGATGTGTGACGCCTGGGTAAACACACTTGAATTCGACGCCGATGGTCAGTTGTTTAGAGCGCTCATATGAATGCTGTTGAACAAGCTCCTAGTCGTCAAAGTGGCAAGTGAAGATATCGCAATCGCGTGGCGCGCCATACTTTTTCAACCCAGAGACGAAAGAGTCAATCTGGACGACGCCCCCAGACCTCACTGAAGAGCAAGCTGCTGCCCTCCTCAGCGAGGCACAAGCTGCCAAACGCTCTAGTGGCCAAGTCCGCGCCAGCCATCTCTTGGTGAAACACAGCGGGAGCCGCCGGCCTGCAAGCTGGAAGGATGTGCGTAACATTAGTAATGCTCACATCTAAGCTGCTTAACTCTGTCTAGCCCAACATTACACGGTCCAAAGACGAGGCAATTGAAATTCTCCGGGGATTCCAGAGCGAAATTGGCACATCGGCTGACAAGTTTGGTGAACTCGCGTCGGTACACTCGGACTGCTCTTCCCATTCGTCGAAGGGCGATCTTGGCTGGTTTGGGCCGGGCCAGATGCAGAAGCCGTTTGAAGAGGCGACTTTTGCACTGAAGGTGGGGCAGATCAGCGACGTTATTAGCACGGACAGTGGAGTACACTTGATCATGCGGACGGGTTAAGGGGGTATTAAGAAGGAAACCAATGTGTATGTACATCTCAACAAGGCCTTTGCAGTTCACTTCTGCAGTCTGAATTCACTGATTTTGTATTCTCCACCTCGGGCCAGAATCGGTCTATCATCTACTTCGTTCGCCTTAGGTAAACTCCCACTCTTCGCCTTGCCAGGAACACCCATGTCGGAAGTACGGGTCTCTCGAATCTTCGTCCACCCCATCAAGGTCTGCTGCGACTCTTGAAACCGCTACTATTCCAACGACACTTCGTAGAGTTGCAGAGGTATATCAGTGGACGAAGCAAGATTCACGCCAGAAGGTCTTGAGGTACTCGTGTTGCTCACCTTTCCCCACGACTGCTGAGATGTGTTAGTATGACAGACTTTGGTGCATCGTGGACCAAGATTCCACAATCATCACAGCGCGAGAGTCTCCCAAGGTCCGTATATTTTGAGCACAAACGTGAACTGCGTGACAACTTAGTAGATGGTCTTGATCACATCGGAGATTCGTAAAGACCCAACGGCTCCGCACGGCGGTCTTCTTTCGGTATCTTTTCCCGAGGAATCAGGATGCGAGTCGTTTTCGATTCCACTTCGCCCCAGTCAAGAGCAGCTTGAACAATGGCAACGGTAGATCTTAGCTTTCCTTTCAGTGCCGCTCTGTTGATGTGCTCGAATGTTAGCGTTCCAAAGGTAGCAATGCAAGGCGAGCCCTTTGGCGATGGGTTTGTCTGTGAAGCCGTATCTGGCTCTCGCTCGGTATCAGCCATCCTTTCAGAGTACTTTGGTCGGCCTGTCAACCTCGTCTACAAAGGCGCGGAAATTCGCACTTGCGAGACGACCGAAACCCATCCCGATTTGGCAGCAACTGCCGTTTTCCAAGATTGCTTCCCTGTGATGGTATTATCCGAGGAATCGACGACACGGATTGAGCAAGAAGTACGGAACCACATAGGCAAACAGGGCGTCGAAGAACGTTGGCGGACGGATAGTTTGTTGATTGAGAGGTGCTTCTGCAGCTGGAAATGAAGGTTTCCGGCGTTGCTGACCGATTCAGATTTCGCCCAAATATCGTCTTCCAAGGCGCAGGCCCATTCGCAGAGGATGGCTGGAAACAGATTCGGTTTGGAGACGGCCCGGTGATCAACCTTGTGAGCAAGTGTAATCGGTGTCTAGTCAGTTGGATTTATATCTGGGTCGCATGCGACACGAGTACTAACCGAGATTGGAGCTCCCCAACGTTGACCCCGTCAAAGGCGAGCGCGACAAGGCAGTCCCTTACAAGATTATCATGAAATTTCGAACTGGGGTTGATCCAGTCAACAAGATGAAGGTCGGTGTTCATGCTACTGCCTCTCGTATCACACATGACCACGTAATTATAGCCCTGTGTGGGTGTGAATGCGGTTCCGCTGAGCGAGGGAGAGGTGCGGGTTGGAGATGTCGTCCATTGGGAATAGTTCGTGTAAACCAGATAGCGAAATATCTCACGTGACTCGTCGCTGTGCCTGAGATCAAGTGAATGCCAAATCAGTAACTTGCGCTTTCCTTTGGTCTGCGCGCCAGAAAACGTTCTATGCTGCGCTGGGGTTTCACCGGCAAGGGCACCCAACACCCCGTAGACGCGACTCAATCCGCCAACCCCGCCCCCGTCCTTTCCCCCGACAACAAGCGATTCGGTTTTGAGAACGTATGTCGCTTTACCCCATCTTTTCGCGACTCTGAACATCTCTTTTCATTCTAGTTTGGCAACACCTGGTCTGCTGTTTGGCTCTACACGATTTCTGCCATCGCTGACTCGAGCATAGCTACGCTAATTCAGTCATCCAAGCCCTCTACTTCTGTGGGCCTTTCAGGGATCTCTTAATACAGGCTCCGGACCCGTCTCTCGTGGCTGAGCCAGCCCAAACCTCGTCACCACCAGTCGTTGTTCCCATTCGTCGGAAGCCGGAGCGGAAGCCGTCGACCTCTAATGCTAACGATGTTGTCCTCCACCCTCCAATCCAAGGCATTCCGTCCGCTCCACCGACCCTTTTCTCCGCCCTTCGCTCGTTATTCGTATATATATCCACCAACCCGGCGGAGAAGGGCACCGTTGCGCCTAGGGCGTTTATCGACAAACTCAAGGAAGTCAATGAACTCTTCCGCTCGACAATGCACCAGGACGCCCACGAATTTCTTAATTATCTGCTTAATAAGATCGTAGAGGAAATAGAGGAGCAGCGGAAGACGGCGGAGAGCGGGTCTGCGACGCCGTCTGGGGAGGATTGTGCGTTACTTGTGTTAATCCCGCTTGGTTCTTGCTTCTAACCCCCAGCGCTCAGCAGGTATTCCCGCACCCAAACTCCCTTCTCCAATCAACACTACTACTGCCCAAAACGCAACGCTTGTCCACAAGCTCTTCGAGGGAACTTTAACAAGCGAGACGAGATGCCTGACGTGTGAAAGCGTGCGTTGCCTATCTCTGCTCCCGTTGTTGAGACGACACGTATATTTTTTTCAGGTGTCATCGCGGGACGAGTCGTTTCTCGATTTGTCAATAGACATCGAGCAGAACGCCAGTGTCACGGCCTGTCTGCGGCAGTTCAGTGCCAGCGAAATGCTCTGCCAGAAGAACAAGTTCTTTTGTGATGTTTGTTGCGATCTGCAGGAGGCTGAGAAACGGCAAGTGGACTGAGATCAATCGCTTGGGTGTTGTCCGGCTGATTTCGTCGCCAGCATGAAAATCAAGAAACTCCCCAACGTGCTCGCCCTACATTTAAAGCGCTTCAAGTACCATTGGCAGGAGGACGTCCAAAAGTACATTAAACTCGCCTACCGTGTCGCGTTTCCGTTTGAGCTGCGACTATTCAACACCGTTGACGATATCGACGATGCGGATCGGTTGTTCAGTCTTTTTGGAATTGTGGTACATATCGGAAAGTACGTGTGACGCGTTCTCTCATTGCAAAATCCATTGGCTACATCTGTCGTTAACAGTGGTCCTCATCATGGGCATTACATCTCAATCATCAAGACCATGGGCTCGTGGATGGTCTTTGACGACGACAACGTGCACGCAATAACAGAAGCGGAGATTCCCAAGTACTTTGGCGAGTCAAATGCTGGCGCGGCATATGTACTCTTTTATCAGGCAGTCGACGTTGACTTGCCCGCGCTCGGATTACGGCCACCACTTTCTCCGATGCCGACTACGGATGAAGTGCATGTAGATGCTTCTCCAGCAACAGACCCCAGTCTCCCTCCTGGGTTGGAAGAGCCCGAACTCTCCGATACCAGTGATAGCGTGGTTCCCGCAACACCACCCTCACCTATCGACCCGCGACACCCGATAGACATCGCGACGACAACAGAAGAGCAACAAGCCCATCTGTTGCCCAAGAAGGGGAGCAAGTTCTTCAGCAGCATTCGGAGAACTCCGTCAACATCTGCGCGGCCTAACACCGCTGACACACGCTACTCTCTCCAGTCCAATGGCGCCGTATCTTCACTGTCTGTTGATGACGACAGCAAGCCACTGATGCCACCAGGCTCTGCCTCTCCCCCACCCCCGGTACCGCCATTACCGCAATCGCTTGTAGCCAGTCCAAACGGTAAGGAGAAGAAGCACGAGGAGAAGAAGCCGGGTTGGTTTGGCAAGCGTAAGAGCTTGAGGGGGCTAGACAAACGGCGTTCTGAACTCGTGGATGATATTCCCGCTTCTCCAGTCCTTTCGTCCCGAACGCCAGAGACGATTTCACAGCAGTCATCCTCTTCATCAACGTGGTTCTTGACTTCGGGCCATTCTCACGATAAAAATCGGCGGCCGTCAGATTCTATCGTGCTTGATGCAGCTCAGACTGTGTCGCCGCCCAAAACCAGGCCAAAGTCAGCTGGTCTTGTTGTTAAACCCGACCGTGAAGAACGGGTAAACGGTTACGACAGTCCCTCGCCAGGCTCGGCGTCATCGAGCTTTGTGTCTGTTTCAGCATCGGCGCAGCACCCACAGCATTCCACCGTCGACTTCCCACCCGCCCGGTCATCCTCACTTGCTCCCAGTCATGGTTTCCAGCCACCCCCGCCCCCGCCACCACTGACCGACTCCCCGACCCTCTCGCCCTTGTCGATCCCCACCAAAATATCCATGTCGAATCTTTCGAGTCCCAACAAATCGAGGACAAAAGGTTCTCCCCCAGCCATGCCAACTCCCCGGCCATCAACGGCTGGTGCTCCCGCTGAACACGCAGCTTCATCACGACCACTACCACCGGTGCCCCCACTGAAAGATGCTGCGACAAGGATAGCATCGCCGCCACCGCTGGACTCACGTGTCTCTGTGGACAGGGGGAAACTGCGGATAAACGGGAGCGAGGACGGTGAATCGCTCACGTTACCGACCAGTCCTGCGCTAGAGACTTTCGCGGGTGCCAATCATAGTAGCAGCCACCATTCTAGCAACGGCAGCACGACTGCACTGCCGGTTGGCGGTGGTCGGCGCGCGAGCCGGAAGATGAGTCTTACGACGACGTTTGGCTTTGGGAAGAAGGACAAGGACAAGAAGGACGACAAGTCCCCGAGCGCGTTTCGGTTTGGCATGTGACGACCCCACCCCCACTGTATTCGATGGAGTTTTCTGTATTCGTATCCTCGCGGACGGTAGGCCCCCCCCCTTTAAGCCCATTTTTATCGCATTTTTTCTTCTGCGTTTTGTTTTCTTTCTTCGACCTTCTCAGTGTAGTTTGATGGAAATACCTCGCAGCACACCCACTAATCGTAGTCCTGTATAATGTATCAACATCACTGAAAACGCAACTGCAACAAATATCATTATTTCCAAACAGTTATAGTCATGGCCAGAATATTTCCCTAGGAGTGAGTAAAAGAAGTAAATTTCAATCAAATTCTTTTGGGCTGGGTTTCTTGTCCCCTAAAAAGGAGGAAACTTTTTATATCAACAGAATTTTCAGGAAAGTATGTAGACCTTCATTTCCACTTCAGACTCTCTAAGCCTTTCCAGTTGCCCTCCTTTAATTAGTCTCTACTGCCCACACTATTCCCAATGGAGGTTCTTAGTACTTGCTGGGTATTTTTCTGGCCCTCTGATTGGTTGAGAGGGCTTAAGTAAGCCTAAGTAAGGCATTTTTTGCTATTGATAAGCTCTATTCTAAGCTGCCAGGGTTGCCCCTAGAAAAGCTGATTTTTTTTTAGTTTTTTTTTTTCTGTATATGCTTAGGCACATTTTTTTTAAAAAATTATGCTATCAAAAACTTTGAAGCTTTTTTATACTTTTCAAGCAAAAAAACTGCTGACAATCATCTTCAAATTTTGGCTAAAAAGATAACTGTGTTTGTTTGGTCGTCACACTCACCCCCTGTCTGACTGCGGGATACAAAACTAAGGATTTCAACTTTTTTTCTGAATCATCCTGGAAAATGTTCTGGAAATCATCCTGTGAGAAAGTGGGTACAATAGGTCGGTTAATTCTATGAAGTAAGCCTGACAAGGCGCCGGCTTGGACAAGGCCCACAATGTAAGCCCTCCATTGCTTGTGCGTGTAACTGTTTCAATTATATGCTACTTAGGCACAGCTCAATGATGGATCTCCTCAAACTTCAATCCAGATATGGATTCCCTCGAGTCCTGAAGGAAGCACCCGGACTAGCGCGCTATGGTGGCAAAACAATGGCTGAAGTCCTGCCCCGCTACCGTTTCGGCTGGCTCATGACTTTCACCGAGCTCTACGACGCTGCACCGGAAGAGTTGCGCCTGAAGGACAGATACGCACAGGCATGGGCCATCAACCAGATAATCGAGTGCTGCAAGTCCAAGGACGAGTTGCGATTATTTTTTTCGTTCTTCCCTGCAGCACTGCTGATTTACATTCTCAGGGAAGAAATCGGCGCCTACGCTCTTATGGGCAAGTTTCTTGGTCTGATATGCGTTCACTTCACCGACAATATGACGGAGGAGAGTATGGCGAAAGCAGAGGACGACGAGCTGATGGCCGCCTTGATGAAGATATTCAAGACGAGGAAGGAGGATGCTGTGTGGTTTATGTCTGACTATCGGTTAATGTAGTAGGCACGCGCCAGTGGTTTACAATGTGAACTTGGAAAACTTGGAAAAACAGTATCATTATTCACGAACAGAGATACAAGACACCTGCTTGGTCCCATCCACCAGCTTGCGGGTTGGCGCCAGCGCCCGACGTGGTCAAGACTCGTCCCCGATCACGCTCCGGCCCGGGCCGACACTTGACCACCACTTCCTCCGTATGGTGTTTCATCGGCTTGTGCTGTTCCCTGAACTGTCCAGACGCTCTGGGATGCTAGACCTGGCTATCTTATCTGCCAAGTTGGGCTTGGAAGGTAGACCTCTCCTAGATTCACAAAATTCACTGTCTCGTCTAGTCATGGAGTCACGCCGTGATCGTGAAACACATATCTGCTACTTCCGCTGTATCGCCACTCCAGTCTCTCTTTCTTCTCGACCATCATCTGCCTCAAGTCAGTCGCCTTCCTCCCTTTGTTCGCCATTGTCAAAGCTTAGTTGACGAGGGCCTTTCAAGCTTCGGTGATGAGCGACACTCCAGCTGCAGCCCTTCGGGTATGAGGTTCTCGCATGCCCAAAATGAGCTTACTCCAGGCGGGGACTGCGCGTTGTCGGCAATTGTCGTGACAGCGTCTCAATCATCCTCGTACTTTGGTGCTCAACGCTAAAATCATGACGCTCTTGGCTCTGTGAGAATCTAATCCACTTCGGTAATGTTGCTCGCTGGACTTGTTGTCGTATCTCGGATCCTCCGCCATACATCTCTTTCCGACAAGTTTGTTGGGACTGAGGGACAATGACGAGGGAATAGGACTGTCATGAAAGGTGCACGTTCTTGTTCTGTCTTCCTATACTCTCTAATGCCTCCAATGCTCTGTTTTAACATTGGTATACACATTCTGGTGACCGTGCTTCACTCCAGTTCAGTCCCGAGAATCGAGCGCCTCCGTACCCTTGCCCAAAATGAGCGATATTACCAGTCGGGGACTGCGGCTCGTTGCTGGGAGTGTTTGCAAAGTAGTGGCGATGCCGATGAAAACGTGTACCGTGATAGCAACACCTCAACCCCCCTCGCACTGGTCGCTCAAGCTGCTGAACATCATGACGCATTCTTTGGCTATGCGGAGGCAATCCCTACTCGGGTAATGCTGTAACTGGACAACTGGTGCTTGGTGCTTTCGAGTGCCTTTAAAGTGCCAGTTGTGTTGCCTACGCGATCCGTCGCTTCACAAGTTGTACAAATCTCAATCCATATCCTTTTGCGTTCCGTGTGCAAACTTCCCCTGTGGCTTTATTCGCTCAGCGCATTTCAGTTTGTATTCCTGTCATGGTTTGTTTGTTTGTTTGTAATACGTTGTTCGTGATTCTGAGCGTGAAGAAGTGAACCTCATTTTTACTTGGTCAGGTACGACCCAACGAGGTCGTCAAGCTGAAAACTTTGGACACCAGTGAAGCAAAACACTCGTCGGAGGACGAGGGAAGTGCCATCATATCTAATCTCTTTTCCGTCTAATCTAATCGGTTTAATCTCGTATCAAGTTGCCGAAGCTCAAACTCTGAATCTTGACTACAACTTCGTGTTGATTCCTGCATCATATAACAGCCGTAAGCCACGACGAAAAGGTGCTTTAAAAGCAAATATTCCTGATGTTAAGCGTCGGGGGAATCGAGCGCTCAAAGTGCCAAAGCGATGCCCAGACGGGATCGCAACGGGATCGACGTTTGTCACTCGTTTGCCACAGCTTCGATTCGCCGCCGGCGCTTCTGGAGCTTAGCCGTCGCGCCATCCTTTGGATGGTATAATATTAGTTTCCGATGACGTTCTGGCAGGTCCAACAATGCGATAAGGACTTTCCCGCATAGAACTTGGGGATGTTCACAGTAACGAGTGCGACGCGGATCTCGGTAGAAAAAATAGTGCGCCTAGTCTTGCCACTGGCAGGAGTCCTCCATCTATTTATCGAGCCTATAAAGGGCTCCTGTGTTGTTGAATACGCAGGAAAGATTCGTGACACCAGCCATGGTCAAAGTGCTTGCCGCTCTCCTCGCCACGGCGTCCCTCGTCGACAACGATGTCCTCCAATTTCTGATTGTTGCCCTCCTCACTGCACACGCAATTGCCCTTCTTACACGGGGGTACCTTCCGCATATGTGCATGCAGGATCTGGAGTGCCTCATCCAGGACACGAAAGACTTATTCGACAACGCCCAAGAAGAACATTCATTGCGCGACCGCAACTTTAGACTAGAAATTCGACTGCAGTTATCAAGGTACCAGCATATTGGTTTCCGTCCCAGTGACAGCGAATAACAGAAATAAATGCAGAGTTCAAGAAGCAAAGGCGCTCCTCCGCCATCGAGTATTGCAGGACCACGGCCTGAGTTATTCACCACGCGAGTGTCTGTACCTATTCAGCAATCTCGCGTCAGAACTGCGAAAGTGTCGCGGGGAGGTCCGCAGCATCCAGTTAGCAGTATTGGTACCTCGTCAACACAGCCTCGTCAAGCTGTTTTATTGATCGTGACACACAGAAGAAGATCGAGGACGAGAGACGGGAGCTACACGGCGAAGAGAGCAGCGAGATCATGGTTATTCTTGCATCCCAGTCCCTTCCGAAGTGAACGGATAATGGAGACTGATAGAGGCAGCCGTGGTAGTTCTGAGAGTGATTGGAACCGTGACTAGACGCACGGCGTAGGACGGTTCGGGGTTTGGCATGTTAGAATAGAACACGTAGAACGACTGTCGTCGATTTCCCAGGCAAGGTCCGGAAATGTAGTAAATAACAGCTTGAGCTCAACAACAGTATCGATCCTGGGTAGCTTCGAATTCGAGGATGGGAGTTGAGAACAAGTTAGGACTAGTCCATCGAAAAATTCAAACGCTATTCGCAAACTCGAAGCAGCGTAAAATAATCAAGTATATATAACACGGCAAGCATAAAAACTCAACGTCTTTTTGAGTCCCTCCGATCCTCAGAACTGGGAGAACCCCTCCGCTTTCTGCCTCGCTCTTCCGGCTCACCACTCGGTGTCCTGTCGCCCTTCCCGCCCCCATAATCGAGACCGTCAACAGCTGCCGCATTTCCGTCACGGTCCTTGTACTTGTTTTGGTTGCGCGGGCCTGTGGGTACATTTGGTGGGAGCGGCGATGTCGGGCGGGCAGGCGCTGCTGGTGCTACTTACGTGATTCAAAAAAAGTTTCCAAGTTGGTGCGAATACTACCCACCATCGTAACCTCCTCGCCCTCTTCCCCGTCCGACGAATCCACGCACTCCCCGCAATCCACGTGTACCGCGAAACGGAACCGCCCCACGACCCATCGCAGGACCAGTAGGGGTGGCGTTCCCCTCCATCGAATAGAGTTGTTGTTGCTGTCCTTGGTCCTATTACGAATGCATGAGCAAGACTTATTTCCAATCCATAAGAAAAACGCCTACCTGGGCATATTCCATCCCCATCATACCCTGATTGGCAAAGCCATCCTGCATGGCTGCTTGCTCTGGAACAACTCCGCCATTTTGTGCGCTGGGATCTTGCATCGCCATCATTGCCATTTCATTGTTCATACCCACAGGCATTCCCATAGGCATCATCCCGCTCATATCCATCATCCCCATCATACCAGGTCCACCAGGAACTACAGCACCGTTCATGGCCCCATTCATCATGGCTTGAGTCCCAGTCATTACCATCGTCCGCGCATCGGTGGGAAGGGCAATGAGTTGGTCGTCATTCAGTCCCGAGAAATTCTAAGGAAGGAACTTTCAATATATTCGTCTGCAATCCACGAAATTCCACACACCAGGACATTCGTTTTAAGCACATTTGCAAGCTCTCCAAGGTCCCGTCGGCGATAGCAATAAGCCTCCCACGACAACTCGTCGAAACCGTAGTTGAACCAGTCGCTGATATCAGAGCCCGGCCTCCTCCAAGCCTTGTCGGTCATGGCGCTCAAATCGACGTCAATAATGGCGCGTCCGTCCGTGGTACCCATGACTGTTGGGTCAATTGCTGGATGAGAGGGGGGTGCTGTAACTTGGGGAAGAGTGGCTGGGTCAACGCCATCTGGTGGAATATCGGGCGTATTCGTTTGTGGTGGTGGTGGGACTGGTACAGGCGTGCTTAGGACAGATGGGGTGGACTGTGGTTGTGAGGTTGAGGTAGGTGGTTTTGAGGGAGTGATGTTCTGCAATGAGGCCCCGCGTTGCAGAGGAGTATAGTCGGTTGTTTCAGAGCTTGCATTAATTGCCGCTACACACTGAGAACATGTTCCTTTGCGAGAAGAGAAAGCGGACATACTTTTTGCTGGTGTTGAAGTTGCGCTTGCCCTTAAGCGTGCATTGGCTTGTCTATTTGCAGTTCAAGGTCGGTGAAAGTGTCCAACAATGATATACGGACCGAAAGTCAAGCGAGCGGGACTGAGGCTCCATAAGGATTTCGACATCCTAATGCAAATGTTAACAGACAAAATCAACAGAAACCAAACCACACACCTCCTCGTCGTCCGTTGTCTCATACGCAACGCTCCCTTGATCTTCATCTATGGGTACTGAAGAAGTCGGATGGCTCCCAGAAGCTTCAGCCGCTTGAAGTTCCTCGATAATTCCTTGCTCTTGCGGAATATCAACAGTGTACCTAGAAGGATGCGCCAGGTCAACAACTCGTATTCGAGCGATACAAACCCCTCAGACTCACGATGTGGATGCTGAAATATCACACACAAAAGGGTGGTATGTGGTCAACAAGATGGAATTGCATGGAAGATACGACAAGAGGACAAGGGTTTCTGTTAAGAACGCGTACCCGCTATTGGCGCTGGCGTCGTGGTCGGTTGTGAGTCTCCGCCTCCATAGAGAAAGTCATCGTCGTCATCCCTGAAAACGTTCGGACGGTCATGGAGAGCCTAATGAAGTTTTACGAACATTGAGTTGTCGTCGTTTGGAGCAAAGAAGGTGGGTCACAAAGTGGTCACACCCAGCGCGTCAAAATTGCCGTCGCGTTGTGCATGAATTTTGATTCCACTCAGGTGGTTATGAACCTCGGAATGCTTTCTGGTAATACCAAGCCGCAAGATGAGTGCAACATAGGTCTCAAATACTGGGTAGTCGCAAATAGCGATACTGAGTTATGGTAGTAACAGGTAGTTGATAAATCCATTGGTTTCATAAGGGACAACACAAGAGCGAGAGTCAAGGGAGTCAAGTCTAGAGGTATTAAAACATGATATTCATGTAAAGAATTGTGCTGGAGAAAGCATGAGTAACAGACAGCGAACGACAGGAGGAAAAGCACGCACCCATTTCACAGCTCCTTGTGTAAAGCGGACCCCACGGCGCCCACGCCATATCCAAGCCACTGCCAAAGCGCGCGCTCGTCTCCCTCCTGTCCCCAGAGGTAGTATACCGCACGGCCGCTCATGACCGAAATGTGGTGAGGCAGGTAGAGCACAATGCCTGAGCAGACTAGGAGGAATAGGATGCCGAATATTGTCACTGGAATGATGCTCAGCATCTCAAAACTTGAAAAAATGAACGCTATACAGAGGAGAATCTTCTCCCAGGGTTCAAGCATGGAGAGGACAAAAGTCGACTCAAACCACATCCGACGTCGCCAGAAGAAGACAGCGATGGGAGACTCTGGCCGTCTCGTGAAGGAGTGGTCTGGCTTGGGTGGTGGGAGATGTGCAGGAACCTGGACCATCGTTGGAAGCAAGAAAGGTGGTGGCCTGTCAGCCGTGATGACAAATCACTTCGCCAAAATTATCCACATCGTAAAATATTTACATTTCATGGCGCCGTCTCCTCTAGTCCCCGGCGAAGACCCTCAAGTGTCCTAGCCAGCCTCCCACCACCGGCTTCACTTAGCGTCATAGCCAGTTGTGTGCTAGGCGCACTCAATAACCCTACTATCTGTTCTCTCAAAGTCTGCAACGTTGGTAGTTGCGAAACCTCGTTGAGTCTGGGTAGCAACAGTACTTGACCATCCATAAACGCGCCTAACACCTTCAGTTCCGGGTGCAACACTGGTCGCATCCGCTTCATCCTCCGTCCTGGGTTGGCAGGGTCCGCATTCTTCTCCTCCAACTCTTTCTTTATTTCATCCTGCGTCTTCGGCGCTTTCGGGGGTACTGTACGGTCAAAGGTCCGCAAAACTGCTTTGAGCTGTGGTGGATCGAGGACGGGCAACGACAGAACCGCAAGTCTGCCAGAGACACCTTCAATCATTTGTGTAATAATGGCATTGTCGAGTGTGGTGTAGTCTCGAAGGGCCGCTCCAAATATGCCCGAGCGGATGACAGTGAGGTGTGGGTCGGGAATAGGCTCAGCCTCTTCTTGCTCTTTGCTTGCTTTACTTTTTGAGCGTGTGGCGGCGGCCGTAATATCCCTGCGCAGTTGAGCCATACGATTGGCCGAAAATTCGTTGTGATGAAGTAGAAGGAGTGGCGCGGTCGAGGAGCCGTCCAGCATTCGTGTGTACCAGCTATACTGGTAGGCTTTTTTGCCGCTAAAAGTTCGTGATGGGTCCATGCCCTTTATTGGCTTCGCGGGCGCGACCGAGATTGCATAGCACCGACATAACGAGGGGAACTTTAGCCGTTTGCTCGTCGCGGTCACTGACATCGAGCTAAAATTTTGTGACAGTCGGCGTGACTCACTTGATGTTTTCCCTCGTCATCACCATCCCGCTACTGTTCCTCTGTGTTGTCCTACTCTTCACTGCTCGCTCCCATGAACAGCGTCAACGTGTCATAGAGGACCTTTCACTCCCCCCGAACACCAAAACTCTCGCCTTCTTCCATCCATATTGGTTCGTCAGCGACCCCACATTATTCAACGCTCATCTCATCTAGCACAGTAATGCCGGGGGCGGAGGAGAGCGTGTTCTCTGGACAGCGATTGCGTATATCCAGCGAACACGCCCAGAAGTACTTCCCGTTGTCTACACTGGCGACATCGATGCAACAAAAGATTCAATCGTCCAGAAAGCTCAATCTCGCTTTTCGATAGCACTCGACCCAGATCGACTCCATTTTGTATTTCTTACAAGACGTGTTCTTGTAGAAGACTCAACATACCCCCACTTCACGCTCATCGGACAGAGCATGGGCTCCGTTGGACTTGTTTTGGAGGCGTTGTGGAATTTCGTTCCTCATGCATATATCGATACCATGGGCTACGCATTCACCCTCCCAATACTTCGTATACTCGGCATTCCAGCTGGCGCTTACGTTCACTATCCCACTGTCTCACCTCCGATGATTTCCCGCGTCGCTCGACCATCCAAATTGGTCTACTACCACGCCTTCATGCTCCTTTACTCCCTTGCCCTTCGCTGTGCACAAGTGCTCATGGTGAACTCGACGTGGACACGAAAGCATGTCGCTGCCGTCCTTGCCTACCCTTTTTCTTCCAGCAGAAGGGGAACGATCAAACCACGCGTCGTTTATCCTTCATGCGACACTCGAGAAATGGCTAAGTTGCCATTAGACGCGAGAGCACAGGTCGTCGTCAGCATAGCTCAATTTCGTCCCGAAAAAGATCACGCAATGCAGATTCGGGCACTGCATTCCCTGCTCCAGACACATCCCAAATACGAAAAAGTTCAGCTTGTCCTCATTGGTGGCTGTAGAAATGAGCAAGACCAAGCCCGCGTTACTGCACTTGAAAACCTTGCCGTAGAGCTTGGTGTCAAAGAGCATGTAACTTTTGTCCTAAACGCACCCTATCCAGACGTTCTGGCATGGTTGCGGCGCGCTAGTGTGGGCCTCAATACGATGCTGGATGAGCATTTCGGAATCAACGTTGTTGAATTCATGGCTGCGGGTGTTATTCCTATTGTGCACGCGTCGGGTGGGCCGTTGGAGGATATCGTCGTGCCTTTCAATGGCAAGAATACTGGTGTGTTTTTCTACTCCCTTATTCGTAGCAATTCTGAGCAATCCTCTAGGGTACCACGCGAAGTCGCCCGAAACATTCGCGGCAGCTATTCATGAAGCATTCTCGCTTTCACCTGCTGAGGATCGAGAAATCCGACGACGAGCTCGGACATGGGCTGTTCAGCAGTTCAGCGAGGCTGAATTTGAGGCTGGGTGGGAAGCGAGCGGGTGGGCGAAGCTGTTGAGATGACTTGTCTGTGTGTCCTCTTCGTGAAATATATTGGCGCTGCGGCCTATACTGTACTGAGTATCTGACTCTTTTACATGCTCCTCCTCGCCAAAAGGGTATCGACGCGTTTCGGAATCCAACAACTTTCCTTACGGCTTTCAAGTCCCGGTAGACAAGCCGGATGCAAGGATAACCCTAAGGTCATCAGCTTCTTCCAAGTGTACCTCTCTCCGCTGGTCCTCGATCTCTTTCTGTCCTCGGCATCAAGTCAAGAAGACATGACCCCACGATCAACTTACCAAAATTACCAAATGCAGACTTTGGACGTCTTTTTGGCATTTGCGGACCTCTCGTGCGAGGGCGCCAAAGATATGGAAGTATTGTCGAATTGACCAGCCCATACCATATTCCGTGAGAAGCCGTGAGCGAAGGACGGCCTTTCGTCCCTGTAATCTGAGGGAAGCATCACTTGGGATGTGCTTTCGTTGGTAGCAGTGCTCACGATGATAACTGGTGCTTGAACTTTTGACGAACAGTGCGTTCGCGCAATAAATGCTCTTCTTGCCCTTTGTCGAACGTGTCCTTGGTGTCGTTGATCATGCGCTCCAGTTTCTCCATGCATTTGTGTGGAAGAAGCCGTCGTGCACAAAGGGCAGTCGCGCAAAGGAGAAGTGTCGCTAGAACGAGGTACTGGATGTTAATGTTGTCGTCAGAGAAGACGAGGTCGAGGAGGGAGCGGAGGAGATGAGCCATGCCAGGCTATGTTCTGTTGCGTCGAGCATTTATACTTAGAGTCGGTATCTCAATTATCCATTGACAGGAATGCCCTTTTGGAGACACTGATGTCGATCGGCGCTCTGCTTCGTGTCGACAGTCGTGAGAGAAAATTCACCATGTTGTGGTCCTTGTGGTTCTTGTGGTTACTTCTTTACATTGATACGGAAGCTTAGCGCGCGCTCAGCAAGCAAGATGCACATATCCACATTCTTCAGCACTGCATGTATCGTGAAACAATGAGGTTGACACGAGAATGCGGACGATGAAGCTCTGCAAGTAGTCCAATCTGTTTTTTTTTCAAACTCGGAATTTCGGTGTGGATGCGCTAGACTCGAACCAGTCGCATCGCGGACGTGACAAAATCGGTCACTGCGGCGGTCGGCGGCGGTCGTGACTTGCCCATCTTCACCTCCGCAGCTTACATTAGTATTCTACAAGTATAAACGTCCGTGCCTGTGGCATGGACTACAGTAATAAAAAAGAATTTGCAGCGCCCACACGGCCGCTCGCCTGCGGCTCGCGACCGGCGGGCGGTATACGAGGGTGGCACGTGAATATCACGTGTTTCACGTGCGTCCGCATGACTTTCTGTCAATACCGGCACGGTAGTGTTTTCATATATAAGAAGATGTAAGTAGTTACGGGAGCTGCCGTTCCAGGTTGGGACCTTGCAGTAATTTATTTGGTATTTGGTATTTGGTCACCGGTCAAAACGGGGCTGGTTCGAGCCTATGGATGCGCATACCGCTGATTGGCGCACTTGCTGCCACCGCTGATCAAGAAATTGCTGCTGCATGACCCCCGGGTCAGACAAGTAATTGTTGAGGACAAAATTGTAGCAGTAGTGGCCCTGTACTATCATTATTATTGCCGCAACAACAATTTAAATTTATGAGCCACACTCGCCACTGAGCATAGATGCTGGACTCAGGCGTTCCAAGTTCTTATCTTCGTGTGTTGCTCTCCGGTACCGTTTGTTCTATCCGGTCTGCCGTTGGGCTAGGATGCCTGTCGACGGCGGGAGTTGTCATGCTCTTGAAACCCAGCGCCGCTGGACCGAATGTTGCTGTTGTGGTAGCTGGGCTCGGCCGCGTGTAGTAGCTAGTCTGATCCAATGATATGTGACTCTACGTGACATGATCCGACTACGGGCCGACGCCGGCCTCCCATCACAGGTGCCCCCATTTAAAATGGCGTCGTCCTCGACGCCTGAACCCCCTCTATGCGTTTTAGCTCGGCTTCCATGTCCGCCACTCGTTTGCGCTCGGCCATCTCGCCATCCCTTTCCTTTGCTACTCTGCCCATCTCGTCGTAGCCTAGCCCTGCCTGTTCCTTCCTCTTTTTCTCCATGAATTCACGCTGTTCTTCGGCTAACTCCGTTCCGTCCCTTGGTGTGAATCTCCGCAGCCTTCTTGCGCTGTAGTGCCCTGATGCCGCCACGCCATCGAGCGTCTCCAACTCGTACGAGTTCACCCTTCGCGCTTTTATCCTGTGCGGGTCGCTCCACGGCCCTTGAATCTTGCGGTCCGCGCTCAGCGTCTTCATCCTCGCCGTGTCGTATACCTGTACAAGGTCACCCGGTTCAAACTTTACCTCCCCTGTCCTGGACTCCATTACTGCCTTGTCGAATAACGCCTTGCGCTTGTTCACGTAGTGCAGCCCGGTTGTCGTAGGCGTCCAAGCGTTGCTGGTCGGCGTACTGCATGTGGTTGTGTATTTCCATTTCCGTTGGTCTCGTTGTCGCTACTAGTGTAGGTGTTGGAACTGTGTTGACTGCCTTCGCGAATAAGATCTCCTTCGGGGTGTACCTGATCGACGGTAGTATTCTCTGATTCATGATGTGCAATGCTTGCCTGAAGTGTTTTGACCACGTCGCTGGTAAATCCTCCGCTCTTGTATTCCTCCACCCGTCCTCTTCCAGTTTCGGCGCGCACAGTCTGGCTAACACGAAGATGAGCAGCTTGTTAGTACCCTCTACCAGCCCGTTGACCCATGGCGAGTATTTGGGTACCGGGACAAACTGCGTTCCCCATTTGTCGCACGTCGCCTTCACCGCCTTGTTAACGAAATGTGAACCGTTGTCAACCATCAATGTCTCCCGCCGGCATATAGTCTCTGAACAGGTTGTCGAGCACCTCCACCGTGTTTCCACCTGTTCCCGCACCCTTGTAGACTTCCCCCCATACGTGTTGCGAGGCCACGTCGATGTATAGACCTGTCGTTTTGAATCCATCCACGCTGAGTGGGAGTGTCATGTAGTCCGCCGCGATGAGCTCGAAGGGGTGTCGCCTAACTATTGGTTTTAGTAAAGCGTGTATGGCTGTCGGTCCAAAGTTCTTGCACTCGGGGCATTCCCGTATTGCGGCCACGATTGAATCATCCAGTTTTGGGCTATGAAATTTGTCCATGAGTGCTATTTTGATATGGTCGCGGTGGAAATGACCCCCTTTCGCATGCGCGATTGCCGCTTCCTTTTTGGCCTCTTCTTTTGTGATGCACTCGCGTCTTGGTCGCGCTCTGCCTCCCGTTGCTCCGCCCAACCTCCAAAGCTTCCCCTCTTCTATGAAGTATTGCGATGCGCGGTGTCTTGCTCGTTTGCGTTCGCGTTCACTTGTTCCGAGATCCAACTCCAATATCGCGTCGATTACCTCTCGGTACACGGGTTCCTTTTGAAAGCGCTCTCTTAGCGCTGCCGTCCCTTCTGGTACAGGCATTATCAGGTAATTCCCATCTGTAGCGCTTACCGTGAAGACGTCGTTTACGATTCCTGAGCGCGCGCTTCCCAGTCCGGAGAGACTGTCCACTCACTTCCATCCCCGCCCCCTTTCGGTTTCCCTTCGTCCGCTCTTGACAGTGCGTCGGCCACCACATTATTTTTCCCTTTGATGTGTTCCGCCCCCACGATATTGTACCCCATGATGCCGTCTCTCCAGCGCGTGTGCGTGACGTTGAGTGTCACGGATAAGACCCGGCCCGTCCGCTCCGGCGCTGGTGTCGGGCCATTGCGGGCCCGTAACACGCAGCACGTGACGACGGGGAACATGCGCCCCAGTAGGAGGAACGCACACGTGGGAAGCACGTGACCGAGAACGACGCGTCGAGCCGTCGCCGAGCCCAACTCGACACCAGGGGAATGGGGAGGAGTGCTAGGAGGTCAGGAGTAGCGCCTGGCCCGCAAGGGATGTGCGATCGTCCCCTCTGCGGCCAGGAACGGGAGTGAGGAGGAGGAGGAGAGGCCAGGGTGTCCGATCACCCCCTTTGCAGGCCCGCGTATATAATGCGCGATAGTGTACCCTGTACTCTATCGCTTAGATCGTCTGAAGAACTACCTTACTCCGTGCGAGGAGACGCTATCGACTCATCGGGCCCGACACGACCCGATTCGAACCTTCGACCACCGACTACGGCAAGGGACCGAGTTCACGGGCCCTTTCGGTTTCGATCTACCCCGCCCGCCATACTTGCGGGCCCGACTATTCGTCTGTTCTGTTCCGGGCGCGCGTTCTTAGGAGAGGTCCTTGCACGGCCCGACCCGCAGTCTGACAGAATCTAAGCGATCCCCCTACACCCGCAACAGAATGGAACACCACCACCGTCATCGCACTCCCGGCGTGGGCCACGATAGTGGCTATCGTCATCGCCTCCCTTGCCTACCTATACGGACGCACCCTCGAAGCCCAGCCCGTGGTCTTCAACCGCGTCCTCTACGGGAGAAAGGAGCCCGCCCTGAAGTAGGGCACCCCTAGGCGGGTCTCCTTGGACGAACACCATCGGCACATGGAACACACTTGCCCGGCCCAGGGCGCCGGGCCCGCCGCAAGCGCCCGACGCCTCAACAACTCCCCGCCCCTCCCCGTGACGGCCGAACCCCCGATCCGGATCGTCTCGGACCGCCCGGGCCACCGGCACACTCTGCCTGACGAAATGGGACACACCTCCCTCCGCACGAAGGCCCTGGGGGCCCGTTCTTATCTCTCTCGTAATCTGCTCTACTTAATCTGTGGCGGGGCCTCTGCCCCTAATAATAAAACTCTTTCTTCACCCATCACACAACGGACGAGCGCAAGACGAATCGATCGATTACAAAACAGCCAAAATACAAAAAAAGGGGAAAAAACACGCAGACCAAAAACAAACACGATACGGTCCGAATCATCACGGGGGCGCCCTACGGGAGGGGGCCGACTGGACAGAGCGCGAACAATGACAGCAAAACAAAAGGAGGAGGATACCCGAACGCCGCGACCCGAGTAGACGGGGAACTCCGGCCGAGGTCGCCGAAAGACGACGAACGACCCGCCGAAGCCTAATCCAGGTCCATCATGCCGAAGCTCAGGCCGTCCTGACGGCACACATTCGCATATACCTCTCGTTCAGCGGCCCGACGCTCTAAACCCTCCGGCGTTTCCCAGAATCCCGACCTCTCTCCTTCGGACCGGTGGATAGCCAGAAGAATGGCGCCCAGATAGCGGCACACGCCGGGCGACGTCCCGCGAGGCGGTCAGGGACTCCAGCGAGTTCACCAACCGGAGGTCTGCATCCAGGGAACGATCGACGACAACTCCGCGAGTGCGCGGGTCCGAGCATCCGGGAAGCCCCCGTCGGCCGAATGAACCGCCGACTGTTGCAGCAACAGCACGCCCAACGGAGACAAGCGCTGATCGGCGGGTACCGACGGGTCCCCATGCAACCGGCGAGACTCGGCAATGGCCCGATCCAAGTCCCATCCCCTCCCGAACCACAGGGAGACTCGAGGGAACGAAGGCACCTGGAAACCCATGGTGGGATAAGAAAGAGGGTGGGTCTCACCCGCAGGGGACGGATGGCCGGGACGAGGCCTCTCCTAACGAGCGGTCGCGACAGGGGAGGCCGGCCGGCGGAAAGTGGGGCGGGGCCTCGGGGGGGGCCGACTTGGACGATGGTGGGGGAGACGGCGAGCGGGTGCGAACTTCGTTTCGCACGGGGACGGGGAGGAG